GTATTTTAAATCACTACGGTCTTCTGATGTTCGTATTATGATGTATTACGTGTATTGCATGTGTACTATAAGATGTTGCTACTGTTGCTTTGGGAGATGTCTTTGGTATATGTTTATGGTTTATACCCGGGTTCCTAATCATACTTAGTGTTCCTGATTCCTACTCTTAGTTTAGATCTGGATTTCAGTTATTTGGCGTATCGTATATGTGTTGTTTGAAAGCATTTGTTAGTAGTCTGTTTGGCCCGATAATTACTCATTTTGCATCATTAATTGGTTCATGTTTTACGTTGCGTTAGATACTTTATTGGTGTTTTCATCTGTGAGGTTCCATAGCGTATGTTGACAAACATAATGCACTGAACATATTCTAAATGATTATGTAAATAATATACATTCAAAGAGTATCTACTACAATTCAGAATAAGTAAAGTTTCAGGAACAGGCAACATTTGTATGTTGACTGCATTTATTTAATTTCCAATATTTCTTCTTCTTCCAATGCGATTTACTTGAGGTCAATATTTTCATAGAAGTGACATTTTGTGCATCGCCTTCCCCCGCAGCGCACGGAGCAGGCGGCGGCGCTAAACCTCCACCGCGACAGCTTCAGCGATCAGGTCAGGTGGGAAGCGGGAGAGGCAAGTGACGTCATCAACACGGCAAACTGGTATGTGGACGCGGAGGTGCCGCTAAGCAATGGTTACACTTGGTACCAACATGGCCTGCCCTTGTGGCCGCTGCTGGACCAAGCACTAACACAGAAGGAAACCGTCCTGGGCAAGAAGAAGAAACTCAACTGGCCCAATTATGCAATCGCGACGCCACTGTACGTCGCGCCCCTGGAAGCCTCCAACAGCCGCGATCTCGCCATCTCCGTCAGGAAGCTCTTCGCTGGGGACACTGCAAGGCCCCAGCAACAGAGCGCTAGCCAGAACACCTTCGCCAACAGCAACAAATTCCAGTCTACCGTTCTGGATTTCATCAAAGACAATTTTCAAGACCAATTCGGTTACACGCATTCGGATATCGGTCAGACCTTCGGCGAGACCGGACGGTGGATCCAACCGCTCGTAAAGGAAAGTCTGCGCCCCATGTTGGAGTCTTTCATGAAGAGGCAGAAGACTCGAGCGCCAAAGAGCAGCGATATAGCGACGTGTCCCGATGAGGTGTACTTATTCTTCCTGCAGAAGCCGTGCCCGACGGCCTCGGCCTGCCAGGTCATCCTCGATATCCAGCAAGAACTGAGAGTCACCAACTGCGTCAACACCGATGTTGTGGTCGGTTACACCACAGCGAGATCCGCGTCCCATGGCTAAGAGCTGTGGCGCGACAGAGATGCACTTGCTAGGATAGGCTTTGGATAATCTTAATTCCACATACATAACAATACGTTCTCTCATTTAAGTATGTTGTGTTTATCGGTGCATAGGCCTACATATCTATCTTATTTTAATTTAGTCCTTTATTTACCACCCTGGCTAACTGTACCGGTGTACATGTGTGTGAGTGTGGTACATTTGAAGTATGTGGTTACCAAACTGGGTGTCGCGGTGTACTGCAAGGCATAGGGGTTGGCATTTGAATTTCAAATTACTATGACTATTTAGGTGAATTTTTTATTTCCCCTTTGTGCATACAATCTGTTTATTTTGTTTTGAGATGTAGCACTTCGTGGTAAAGATAAGGGTACACTGTGGATTTGGTTCAAGAAGAGTGTCACAGAGGGAATTTTCGAGTACCATCACTGAAAAAGGGGAACCATTGGTCTATCTATACATATATCGTGTGCAAACTCGCACACTTTCGAATATATGTGGAAAATAAGGGATACACAAGAAAATACACATTATCTGAAACACACTCTAAAGTACGCACACACAAACAGTCACATACTTATACATATATGTATATATCAGTTCATATGTGTCGCATACCGCATTATAGAAAGAAACGAAGGTATTAAACACTATTCAGATTATTAGCTTTTGATTTCATTACATTTATTCATCGGTGAATAAATATACTAAAACATCCCACCACACAAATTATCACACACATGCTGCCAAAACCGGGTTGCCAGATGAATAAGCGTTTTGTTCCTTCACAATACTGAGGGACAGTTGCTGGAAACATCTAGTATATTTCTTGACTGCTCCTGAAATTCAGACAAAAAATGGTATGTCTTAATCAGTAGTTTCACATGTGTATTCATAATTATTCATGCATAATAAAAGCGATAGGCTTGAGGATACATAAAATATAATTAAAATTAATCATCAGATTATCATTAAGAAATTATAAAATTAGATTAAATCTAATTATCAGATTTTGGTATTCTGATGCTAAACCTTAAAATCTGTTATTTTAAACTTAAATATATCATGTCGAGATCGTTCATCATTGAAGCAAATACAGGTGTTTAATGAGTAATGTCCACCATGCAAGTTATATAGAATAAAGGTGTATTCCCTTACTTACTGGTATTATTAACCAAATTATTTACCATCTTCAGGACTTTTACTCATAACTTAGGATACGCTTTTAATGATCTGAAACATCCAAGGCTTAAATCAATTCCTTGGTGCCGTACCATTTCAGCCTTCTTGTCAAAATAGTGTTTCTTTTAAGCTCGTGTCATATTAAAGAATACTTCGGATTAGTCTACAGATTAAGGAGCATCCTCACCTTCTCCTTGGCAATTTGACCTTTGTCTGCAGTCCTCTGAAGGAATTCTAGGATATTCTCGAGGCTCTCTTGGTCGTGGCCGGGCAGGTCATCCTCCACTCCTTCGGCCTCACTCGCGTCCTCCGACACAAAGGCATCCGAAGGCGCGATCTTGTTCTCGCGGCCGCACCCCCAGCACGAATTCCAAGCGCCCTCCATCAGACTGCAAGCGTTTTTGTACTTTATTTCAGCACAGAAAAATATATTTCGTAACACGCAAACAACTACTTCATTTTTTTCCCATTTAAGAATAACAGGTGAAGCTCAGCGCAAGAACACTCCTTCTAAACATCTTTCTAGACACAATACTCACCCAAGAATAATAATTTTAAAAAAACACGGCATTAGTACCACAGGTAATTACAACCAAAGTCAATTTTCAAAAAACTCGAACGAATTGTCCTCGTCGAGTCACGCGAATCTTACCGAAAGAGCTGCGTCCGAATGGCTCGATTGAGGAGTCCGTATAGGAAAGGGTTAACGAGGAGGGAGCCATAGAGGAGCCATTCTGTGAGATGAGCCAAAGTCTCCAGTACCTGCGCCTTTTCCCCGCCCACCTGGAAAGAGGTAGAGGAGGGAACGGTGAAGAAAATGGGAGAAGGGAATGGACGAAAATCTGATAAGTAATGACAAAACGATGAGAAATTTAGATTAGAAGAAAAGTGAAGTAAAAGAAATATTAAGTGTATCAGAAAAGAAGAATCACAGAAGAAAATGAAAAAAAAATAATGAACTGGGAAGCAGGAAAATTAAGGTAAATGGGAGATTTGGAATAAGGAGACAGATATAAATACTGTGCAGAATATTAATGAGAGGGATAGATAGCGTTTGGAAAATCAGGCCTTAGGAGCAAGTGTGGAGGATGTAAAGCAAAATGCTACATACAAAGCAATGAATAAGATACAGGCGTAAGCAGACTGATATAAATGAATACTTGAATTTACACACATACACTCACACAACACGAACAGATATCATGAAACAATTGCCAGACGAATAGCATCAACCGCTGAATGCCAACACAAACCACGCACCTGAGAGCTAATCCTACAAGGCAGACTAGCGTTATGAAGGGTGTAGTTCAGCGTCTGTTCCAGCTGCTTGAGTGTCACCTCGACGCTCCTCCGCTCTTCGAGGGCCACCTTCAGCAACTTCAAACCTTCCTCCATGGCTTCGCTGTGATCAGGTGGAGAGGTAATTAACATTATCGTTTCATATCGTTTTATTATTGTGTTGTAAACATAGTTATTCATAACGGTATTCAACGTCTCCAAAGAGTTGAAGTTGGTCCCATATCCAAGTGGACGTAGGGGACATGTCCGTAGAGGAACATGCGCACTAAGTCGCAGGAGGATGCGATAGAGTGGCCAGTCCCTTTCCACCCCGACTTTGGTCCCAGCATGCGGATGTCAATATACCTCACTCACAGCTAAGTTGACTGAGATGGGCTTGCGTTATTAAAGCCAGCGCTTTACCACTACCTCTACTGTAAGTATGTTCAACATTCACTGTATTTGACATCAATAAATAATCAACCTCATGCAGCATGCGGCTGACACTTTGTATGGTAAAGTCGAACTTCGATAAGTAGAAATCGTTGAAATACATTTTGTAAGGGTAACATGTTCAACACATTATCCGACTCAAACATTCCCTAATCCTTAATTTCCACTTGTACCCCTCTTTGCACAGAACTTTTGCGTGACTGATAGGTGATATTAAGGGGAGAAAACATTATTGCTTACAATTCAAAAATACACCTCCTAAAACACACACGCAAGGTCTTCAACGGTACCTTTGCTTTGCGCTGATATTTTGGACAGGCACCGACATCCTACTCACACGATGAGAAAGTGTCTAAAAATTATATTTTGCTATGTTTCACACCCTTCTTTCGTAGTCATGTTTCGAACAACTTTGTTTCCATGGGCGGCCACGAATTATCCATGGTCGTTGTATTTACATATATATTTAGGAACTCTGTATTCCATGTCCCGTACGCACCTAAGGCTATAAAGAATAAAAAAATGCATTTTGAGCTTTCTTCTAATTAAAACTCATTAAAAAAGTTTGTTCGTAGCCATCAAGTATCTTGAAAATTATTGCATTTCCAGTAGTATGGATACGGTATACACGACTGAAAATTGGTTTCTCACCTATACGCGTCGGGAGCCAGGTGCGCTAGAGCCACGTACGTGTTGAAGACGTAGTAAGGGCCGCAGAGGATCCAGAAGGTCCCCACCACCAGCAGAAGGGTCCGGGCAGCTTTCTTGGCCTTACCTTGGCCAGAAGCTCCGCGCGGTCCGGAGTTACTCGCCTGGAGAGGAGAGGAAGGATTTGTCAGAGAGTATGCTTAAAACTTAGATTACATGACTTATAGGGAGACTGTTGTGCGTTTATTTTGAGAAGGGAGGGAGGGGTTTATGAGTCTTTTTTTTTCCTTTGAGTGAGAGTGTTTTAGATGGATTCGACCAATCCCGAAGTGTTCTCTGTAAAACAGATCAGAACAGTATCTAACAGCCTTTTATGCAGAATACAAGAGCCGAGTTAAAATACATCCCAAATACTAACCATTTTCCCGAGCTTCGTCTTGGGATAGGATTCCCCGAAGGAGGCTGAGGCGGAGAGCATGAGCGTGGCGGAGGTGGAGGGCGAGGTGGGAGTGGGCGTGCCAGCCACCCACGTCACGCTGTCTAAGAACCCGTCTATCGGCGTTAAAACGGACGTCGCTTCCTCAGCCTCGTGGCCCAGAAACGGCGACACCAACCCAAAGACGCCTCCCCTGCTCTGCTCCGCTGTGCGGTCGTTTGCGTTCGTTTTGCCCACGACGTCCTTGCCCAAGGGAAAGGCTCTTCCCTCGATTGCCGGGAGGAGAGAGAAGATGCTCCTGGCGACGAGCGGCTCCTCCTTGCTCGTCACTCTCTCGCTGATGGTTTGTACTTGAGTTGTCACGGGAACCACGCGCCGTACTGCACGCCAAGCGACCCTGGAAAGTCATGCAAGTGGCGTCCCCCAAAGAGAGTGAATCTTTAAGTTGAAACCATTTTACTAAAAGAGTAAATCTAATAACAGTGTAACGGTCTGTGACACCGAAGCCACAATTAAAACTCGCAGGCTTGAAACAATATATTAAGGCAACCAAATAAAACATCGGAAAAGCATTAGTACCTGAAAATAGACGCGTACATGGAGAGCATAGTGAGGGCAGGAATTAGGAACTCCAGGAGTGCCACAGTTAGGACGTAACCTGTGTTGGACGAGGATACCCCGAGGCCCCACGCGCAGCACACGGTGCCTCCACGCCATGGCTCTTTTTAGGAGGAAAAGAAGTGAAAGTGCTGTGTAATATGCACTTGTCTCGCCACATAATCATGCATCATTACAATTTCTTTATCATTATGTATTAATATCGTACGAGAAGTAGTTATATCCAAAAAAAGAAACGCAGACCACGATAAAAAGGAAGGAAAATAAAAACTAAGAACAGTAGATACAAAATCGTAAAATGCGAACGTAATGGCCGACCTGCAGTCACGATCAGGTACCCCGCAGGCAGAACGCTGACGGCCCACACCACCAGGATCGCCACCAGCGCCCGGAACAGCGTCACCTCCGCGGCGTGCGTCATGGGCATCAGGATCAAGTAGTGCCTGCCAGAGAGTGGGATGCCTTATGCTGTAGCTTGCGGATCTGGGTGCAGTGCAGTGGCAAGAATATATTTTCTACAACACGACTTTCGAACATGGAAGGCATTTGTTAAAAGAAAAGAAAAAGAAAAAAGTTCTTACTTTCACTACGCCGTTTTCACTGTATATCGTTACGTCCATTACGGCAGCTTAGGAACACATGGGAGATATTTATGCTTTGCGAGTTTATCCATTCGAATAGGATGTAAGATGTACTTACTTTCGAGGATAAATCACTCTTACTCATTTGCCAAATTGATGTATAGGCCTATGAAGTACTGATACAAAAAATGCACCGAAGTGAACAGTGCACTTACAGAGAAAATCTGGCACTTACCACAATTCACTTGGGAGAAATTAGGCCAACTTCAAACAACCATTCACGCTGACAACGCACAATTTATCGTCTACCAACAATGACAACGCTTAGCAGTGAAGAAGCAAACTCATAATTTCTGCCAATGTGTCGTATTACATCTTTAAAGTGTGTAAATCCCCACCATTTGCATGTATGGAAACCATGACCAAACAAAAGGCCCTGACACACTTAATCTGGTAAAAAAAAATGCATGACTTGATAAGGAAATTAACACGAGGTAGCATTACCTGTAAAGATATTATTATTAATATTATGATAATAATAGCGATGATAGTAATGATAACAATATTAATAATAATGATGATGATAATAATGGTAATAATGATAACGATAAAAATAATGATAATAACAATAATAACAGTCATGATGATAATAATAACAGTGGTAATGATAATAATAATGATAATAATAATAATAATCATTATTATTATTACTGTTGTTATTATTGCTATTACTTTTTTATTATTATTGTTATTATCATTACTATCATTATTATCATCCTTATTATTAAATAAATGAATAAAGAAATAAATATATAAATAAGTTTTAGATAATCGCAGTCACTCTGCAAGGAAGAGTCCCCTTGCTCACCTGTCCACGCTAATGAGGCAGAGCGTCCAGGTAATCACGTTGACCAGACAGGAGTGGAAAAAGTGCGCAAAGACGCAGAGTCCCGGGGCCAGCTCCTCGGGCTCGCTGACGAAGGCG